CGCCCTCTCACCGCTCAATTTCAAGTCTGAAACTCATAACTCAACTAAAAACCCTAAACCCCTGAATCCTAAACCCGAAATTCCGAAACCATCCCAAACCCCTAAACCCCAAACCCTAAACCCTGAATCCCAGGATCCTAGACCCGAAACCATCGCAAACCTCAAATCGTGAAACGCATCGTCATCCCCCGAACCCGAAACCCTAAACCCCNNAACCCCAAATCCTAAACACTAAACCCTAAACCCTAAACCCTAAACCCTAAACCCCAAACCCTAAACACTAAACCCTAAACCCTAAACCCTAAACCCCAAACCCTCAACACTAAACCCTAAACCGTCGCCTTTGGCGGCTAGTCGGTCTTCCCCTTGGGCCGAGAGCTCCACAGGAGCCGCAGCAACAGCAGCCAGTGGGTGGCCTACAGGGTTTAGGACTGTGGGTTTTAGGGCTTCAAGGGTTATAGGTATCAGGGTTCAAGGTTCAGGGTTCAGCCCCAAACCTAAACAATATAACCCTAAACCATAAACGTTTAGGGTTTAGGGATTAGGGGTATAGGGGTTTAGAGTGGCTTACAGGTGCTGCAGGTCCGGAGTAGCTTCCGGTCAGATTTGCGGGGTGTCCTCATCCTAAAGCCTAGTATGTAGGGGCCTTAATGATTTAGGCTTTACGGTTTAGGGTTTGTTTAGAATAGGGTTTTTGGGGCTCCTTATATAATCATAGTATAGTATACATTCCAATTATTAAGGCCCCTATATTAACCTCTAAAGCCCTGAACCTTGGCCCCAGTGCTGTTATCGACGGACGAGATAGCTGGCGATGGGATGTAAATTTAAGTTTGGGAAAGCAAGGATCACGAGATAAAGCTTAACTAAGCAACACAAAACAAGACCCACACAACCCAAGTTCTCTAGCCTGCGGATGCAACCAAAACCTTATGTCAATCATTAAGGCCCCTATGTCATGTCTAGGGTATGAGAAGAGCCCGGAATACTCCGACCTGGAGAAGGACGCTGCCGAGGCGCGTGGGCAAACCTTCCGCCAACAACATGGGCCCCAAAACCTTATTCTAATCATTAAATATTATTAAGGTCCCTATAGTACCCAAATAGTCGGCTTTCAGGGTTTAGGGCTGAGAGGGTTATAAGGTCTAGGATATAAGGAAGATTCGGGTGGATTGTCTAGGGTTTCGGTACTCAGATGTGATAAAGGGGCGGTGAGCCCAATAAACATAATATAGGGGCCTTCATGATTTTAGTAGGGTTCCTTTAAAGGGTTACTATAGGGGTTATTACAAGGGTTCTATACGGGTATAATATAGGGGCCTTAACAATTAGAATAGGGTTTTTCGGGTATATTGTGATTTAAGTATAATAAGGACCCCCCCCAAAAAAAAAAAAATAGTGTAGGTACTCATTGAGGCCCCTATATTGCACCCCCAAAACCCGAAACCCTCTTCTCTTTCCCTGGAGGGTCTTTCCCGAGGGGCTTCTCCTAAAACCCTGAACCCAAAACCCAAAACCCTAAACCCAACACCCTAAACCCAACACCCTAAGCCCCAAAATCCTAAACTCAAAACCCAAAACCCTAAACCCAAAATCCTAAACCCAAAACCCTAAACCCTGAACCCTAAACCCAAAACATTGAGGGCTGGCAGGCTTCCGGTCCCTGGCGATTGGGTTTTTCTTTAAAGGGTGCCTACAGTCTCCATTGTAGTTCCTTTCTGGGGATACCTTATAACATCCTTAATATATATTTGGCTTAACCAAACAAAGAAACTACAATGGAGACTGTAGGTGCTTTCAGGGATTTTCGAAACCTGCTTAGATCCTGGGGTTTAGGGTTTAGGGCTTGGAATATGGGGCCGTGAACCCTAAACCCTAAACCCTAGACTTTAGGGTTTAGACTCTAGGGTTTAGGGTTTAGGGCTTAGGGTTTAGGGTTTACGGTTGAAGACCATGGGGCTTCCTTACCAAAAAGCTTGCTGAAACAACATATGGTGTTTTTGAGGGGGGGCCTCGGGCTGCTTCGACGGTTCCGAAGCAAGAGTGTGAGGTTTAGGGTTTAGGGGTTTAGGGGTTTAGGGGTTTAGGGGTTTAGGGTTTAGGGTTTAGGGTTTAGGGGGGTAGGGGTTTAGGGTTTAGGGGTGAGGTGGTCTCCGCTGACTCCGTACAGGAAGTGCTGCTGCCAGAGGGCCCACTAATGCAGAGGCTTCAATAAATAGAAAACGGTTTTGGGCTTCTTTATAGAATAGTTACAAGGAGCCCTAAGCCAGACAATATGAATACCGATGTGGCTTGAAGATTACGTTCCTGAAGCAACTACCGTAAGGGTACTGCAAGAATATAACTGACTGTCCTAGCAGAAGCCTGAGCAACCGAAACCCCAAATCTCAAATATCTGCAAGACATTAAGGACTCTTCACACCAAACCCGGGCATTCGCAGCCGAATGTCACAGGCCAGGCGCTGCCATGCAAAAAGCACGATGCGGACGAATTGAGAAATACTCCAGAAGCTTACGCTCAGCAATGTTTTCAAGGAGCCCTATATACACCCACCAGAAATCCGTCTGGAAACCCAACTCCATGTCTAACCAGTTCAGGTGGCCGGCGGTGGTCCACCGCCTGCCATCTGGCCCGCGCACCTTCGATGAAACGAACGCTCGGGTTCAATGCTTTGTGGCGGGTTCGGGGTATGTTGTATTTTGTGACAGGTCTTGCACGCCTCTTGCACAGATGCCAGACGAGAAGCATATGAAAGTCCGCTAAACTCAAGGCACGGGGTTTAGGGCTTGCAACAGTAGGCCCGGGCCTTCAGGAGTTGTAACTCGCTTTACCTATACCCAGCAAGAGGCCCAAGAACCGCATCTAAGTATCCTCTATCAGGGGCCGTACCGCCTAAAAGCAAAGGACACTTTTGGGGGTCGCAGAATCTAAGGTGAATCCATGGGCCTTAAAGGGCCCTGGGATCCTTAAACACCTACTGAATACCCTATATGTACCCTTTCGGGCCCCTAGAAAAGCCTAAGGGTCCATATACGGGGCGCATACTTCTAACCTTATAGACCGTAGGCTTCATGGTTTGGACAAGAGGCCCTATGAAGATGGGGCAGGGGCCACAAACCCTGAACCCTGAGCCCGCCGGCTTCAGAAACCCTAAGCCCTGAACCTTAAACCCTGCGGTTTTAGGAACCCTAAACCCTAAACCCTAATTCCTAAACCCTAAACTCTAAACCCTAAACCCTAATTCCTAAACCACAAACCCTAATTTAGACTCTGCAGCCTCAACCCTATGGTTCTAGGATGCTTTAGGACTTTAGGATTTCATTACTAGTCTGGCAACCCTGACGAGTCTGGGCGCCTCCCCGTGCTCCGACAAGAGAAACGGAATTTCAACCTTCGAAAAGGGGAAGGCCAGCTCCCCACTTGGGGTTTTGGGTTAGTTTGGGGTTTAGGATGCCTTTAGGGGTTAGGGTTGAAAGTTCTAGGGTTTAGGGTTTTAGGGTTTAGGGTTTAGGGCTTTTGGGTTTCCCTTACCATCAAAATAGCCCAGCAGCCTTATAAAATATGGTCGTTGGGCCCACAAAGCTTCAATATGGGTCCTTTGAGGGTTAGGGCTTTGGGTTAGTTTAGGGTTTAGGCTGCCTTTAGAGTCCTCCTTGAAGAGGCTACTGTCAGGCTTTAGGGCTTTGGGTTTAATACAGGGCCTTCATGATTTGAAGAGGGGTTTGGGGTAGATTTGACTAAGAGTACAATAAGGAACCATAAGGAATAAGGAACAGACTTGGCAATTACTCAGGCTTCTATAGTTTTGTTTGCCAGAATCCTAGTGCAACTGCAAGTTAATCTGCGGGATCATATTATATAGGGAGGAAGGTTTACTCAACAACGACGGCTCACTTGGCACTGAACCCCCTTTTTTTAGACTTTTTGATCCTACCTCGATTGGCATGGTGCTAAAGCCACTGTCAAATATGTAGGGATTCTTGTTCTTGGAGAGGGGGGGGACTGGTGGGTGGCTTAACACTGAAGGTACTGTCGCGGCCTTGATAACTAGAAGTTGGTTTTGGGGGAAATAAAACTCTGGAAGCCACCCAAAAAATAGAATTGGTGATTATTTAGGCCTCTACAGTATTCTTTGAATCGTTCTGGGACACCGCCCGATGCTGTTGGGTTCGCAATTCTAAACCCTAAACCTTAAACCCTCCAGCCCAACCAAACCCTAAACCCTATTTCGACGGAAAGGATCAGAGTCATCCCACGTCGGTATCTGCGGAAGCCCAAACCCTAAACCCTGAATTCTAGAACCCTTATTTAAAGGAAGCTACAGGCGGGGAGTTTCGGGTATACAGGGCTTCTATAAGGCTTCTATAAGGTATATAGACCTTCTATAAGGCCCCCATAACGGTAACTACCCACCTGAAACTGTCCTAGACTTATATCCGGTTTCCTTTATACTGTATCCCTTACAGTATGAAAATCGCGCGTTATAGAGTCCCCCCAACAAGCACATAAGAACAACAATTATATTCCATACAACCTCACTGATAATGAAGCCCAATGAGGTAGGGATATTCGCGTAACATGCTTATATGTGGGTGTGTGGGTGTATATGTACATCTATATATGGGTGGATGTCAAAATTATGGTCCCCTTTTGGGTCCTTATTATAATACGGCACCTATTATTTAGGGTACCCCAAAAGGGACCATAATTTTGACAACTACCCATATTCGCTGGCCTGGCCCAGCCACCAGCAA